GCTAAGCAGAAGGGAAACCAACTGTAATGTTTCAGATCCTGAATTCATTTTGAGTGTACCAGATTGAAGAAAAGAAGTATCATGGTCATAACTGCTGTTTATCATTTAACATTTATTTCTTTTTGACAAACTAAAAGAATTGTCCTTATAGCTTCCTTGACCTGACTTTGGATAAGACGATAGACACTTTGGGTCTGCATTCATCGCCTTTACATTAAAAACCCACATATGTCCATCATGATTTTGTTTTGACCAGTCTAGCCGAGACAGCTATCTTTGTTTGCCATTAAAGACCACCAAGATAAAAGGATCTAGAACAAACGACTGTAACCATAGAAACTATGATTCAACACAGTCCTGGAAAACATTTAGGTGTGTTTTCAATGTAACATCATTTGTGCTTTCTATCCAGAATACTAACTGTATTAGTCACATGTGTCAGGGAGGATTATATTTCACTTACCCGGCATTGGGGCAGTTGCAATCACCTTACAGCATGAGATATAAAAAAAGATACACAGTTTACATTCTTGTTACCCTGTGAGACATGTGGCTGCCCTGGAGCCTCAATAAAATCCCTCTCCAAACAGTCCCCTTCCAAACCGTGTGGAAGTGGCTTTTTGGTATACGACCTGAGCCATTCCAGCAGTGACAGGAATAAAATGCACTTCATGTCTTCTCATAAGCGAGACAAAATGTGTTTAATTATCAGTTCCAAAAAATGTAACTGTATTTCATCCAGATGTAAGCATGCACATACTCAGCCTTGTGACACATTCCAGAGTCAGTGAAAAGGTCATGAGGAAGTTCCTTTAGTTTGATGACAGAATCAAATATACTGCCCAGATAATTTTTCCAGCTAGTTCTCAGTTTTTTGAAAATATGGGACACTATAAGGTTTACCTATAAGGTTTAGGCCTAAACAAATGGAAAAGTTTTGTGTTGGAAAAACAGAGAAGAGACAAATCTTGGTTAGATACTGGTTACACAGTGGATACCTTTCCCATTCGACCCATCAAATCGCTCATGTGACCTTTTTATGATCCGTTAAAGGAGCTGTTACACTTGAAAAATAGATTTTTCTGCACATTAAGTTCACATGAAAACAAACAAGCAAAACATGCCAAGCATGGAGGGCGTAACTCTACATAAACACACCAATCAGCTGAAATTATTTTAAAATATTCAATGACGTTACTTACATTTTTTTCCAGGCTTTCATTTTTTACCATAAACTGAACCACATTGTTTTTTTCTTGATTTTAAATTAAAACTATGTCCTGCATTAAACATCAGTGGTAATTGGATGCAGTGAAGTTTCTTCTTTGGGCATCCATCAACCAACTACCAACTTGAATTTTGGCTCTCTATTAACATCTCAAAGCAAAAGGATAAATTACATCAAACATTATAAGTGCATGAGAGCCCTCACGGCGGAGGATATAAATTATTGTTAAATAATAATAAATAAATAAATAAATAAATAATATAAATTATTATTATTTACCATTACTTATCATGTAAATAAATGCACACTGTGTCTCTTTGATGCATAAACCAGGCACATATATTCACCTTTGTTGTATTTAAGTCTTTCATTTCATTTACTTAATATCTGTCTGAATTAGAGTGCTTCACATTGATTTGCCATCAAACATCTGAATAAATGACTGGACTACTATGTCAGAAGGTACGTTTTATCAGCTTCCCAAAAGCTTTTAGTTTCATTACCAAGGCTCGGTTGGCCCTGCAAAAAACCGTCCTGAACCTCAGTTGAATAAGCACATCTTATTCCCTCTATCTGTTCTCTCCCTCTATCTGTTCAAGGCAGTTTCTTTTCTCAGACAAAGATTTGAAGTGTGGGAATCTCACTGGTGAATAAAGTGAAGGCCATCTTGATAGGCCCAGAAGTAACAATTACATCTGGTTCCTTGCTGCCACTTTCTTTCATAATAAAAAACAACTCCAACATAAAGAAGTCATAATAATTTGATGAAAATAAAATCTACAGTATTTCATAAAGCCAACAAATAAAGCAGACTTATGACAAAAATCAGGCTGCAATACAGAGAAAGTCTCAATTGGAGCTTCCATTATGCAAATGATCTGCCGACCCTATTCTGATTTTTACTCACAGTTGCATCAAGATAATTTCAATATGGATTTCAGACAGCATCCTATTGACACCTAGAAAAAAGTTTCCGAGTTAGTCTTTTTCCACATGTTTAAGAAGACGAACAGTTTAAAATCAGATAAACAAATACTTCATGTATCCTAAAATGAAACTATATTTATAAATTATAGCATATTTTGAAGTATTGCATGAAAAAATCACAAAATCTGGAGAGACTTGAATGATTTCAACAAATATAGAAACCGGGAGAGGGAAATTAGGAAATTAATAAATATATTTGCAACAGTGCCATGTGCTAGAATCTTTTTGTTCATGCTTTCAGGTTTTAACTTTTCACAATGCCAGCAGCTTGATAGAAAAGCCCACGCTTTGTCCAAAAATGCAACTGAAGCGCATCACTTTGAAAGTCATGTTGGATGTCACAAAAGGCTTCGCAATCTTTACCATCTACTGGGAATCATTTCTGTATTTTGACTCATTGATGATTTTCTACAACCCTGTTACCAGATACTATGGTTCTGTGAAGATATTTCTTACTGCTCTGAATAATGCTTGTTGCATGAGGAAAATCCTGTTTTTCATTACGCTTTGCAGTGTTTGAGATACTCCCCCATAGCTGCAATCTGTTTAATAGGCACATTTCCAAAGTGGCTCAAGTTGTACTGCAGCCTCTAAATCTCATCTCCTTGTAGTGCATTTAGACAGACCACATCGGCCATTTCCAAATTATCCTCCATTCTTTGGAAAGCCTCCCAGAGGCTCTCTGCTTTCCCATCATGTTGGCCGGGCAGTGAGATACATTATGGATTGGGTGTGGGGAAAAATGGCTTTACAGGGGGAAAGTGGGAAACACAAAGAGCAACAGATGATAGCCCTTTTCACTGTTCATATTTCTTGTTGCTGTGAACAGAGATGTTATTTTCCCAAAAGGAAAATAGCATAGCCATCTAAATGACTCACCTGTGATCAGACAAATATTGTTAAAAAAACAAAAGAAAAATTTAAAAAAGCACAAAAAAAAAAGCCAGAACCCATTTTAAGATTTTCGTTTCTTTTGTATATATAAACTGCCAAAGAAAGGCTACTAGTTCCCTCTTAATCTCAATTTTGTCTACTCTCCTTTATTAAATGTATGTGTTTAATGCAAGTCTACATTGTGGAGAGAGTTGAAAGGGACAATGATGTCCTGCAGCTTCTTGCTGTGCAGGCTTCTGATCTAATTTGCTGTTTGTGCTTCATCTAAAGGATGAAATGAGAGCTGACATCAGGCACCGGTGGGGAAGCATGTTTGTATTTGCGTGTCCCAAAGGCCTCTTTGGTTTGTGTCCCCATGCCTCCTTCTCTGTGCAATTATAGCAAAGAACTCCAGAAGAGCTAGTTTGCCACAGACGGACATGAGAATACTCTGTATTCAGATTAAATAAAAGGCAGAACAGTAAAAAAAAAAACATGCACGCTCACTGATGACAATTTAGAATCATAATTTAACCAAAATGCTCATCTGTTGGATGGTGGGAGGAAACCACATAAAGAGAATCGATCCTTCCGTCCATCCGTTATCGTCACCGCTTATTCCCTGATGGGGTGGCGGATACAGATAATCATGAACTGCATTTCCTCTTTCACTGTGTTATTTATGTTGAAAATGATGAGCTGCTGATAAAGATTGAACACAAAATGTCCAGGATATGTCAAGGTGGCATAATCTGTGATTAAACCTATTTCTGGACAGATAAGATCTATAGTATCTGTACTAAACCTCATGGCAGAAAAAACACCATGATGATGGTTCACCTCTATGACTGAGGTGACACCTTATGGAGAGTTGCTGAGTTTGAAATTAATTTAAATGTTTGTAAATGTTGAGATGGCATTAAAAAAACTGTCTTCCCTTGTCTCAAGCAAATATTTGAATTTCAGATAATATACGAATGACAGGAGTGTGTATAATCATGTATTTTTGTACTATCAAGGTGGAGTAGATTTTAGAACAGCTAGAGGCAGAGACAATTACTATTATGATTATCATTATTAGTAGTATTATTACACCATGCAAAATCGAATCAGATGTGGGTACATGCAAAGTGTACTGGACTGAAAGAGATAGTCATTTCTTAAACTGTTTCCATAAAATATCGATTGAAGTGAGTTGCTGAATGAAAGCACATATTAATGCATTCCAGTTATATGTCTCCATGGAGATGAATGATTTATATTAGGTCTCAGAATTCTTTTTTTTTTAAAGCATGAAAGAGCAGGAGGGAACGCCTAGATTCTCTTTGAAAGTCTTGGGAAGATTATAGGAACCCACCTGGTATTCAGGGGAAATCCAGCGTCTTCTGGACTATTGTTTTTAGTGGTCAGACTCATGGGCAGCTGAAAGAAGAAATTGAGTAATTATGGGTTCCTATGCAAGAGTCCATACACCACACACCACCACTTTACTGGCTTCCTTAAACCCTTCCTTGGTATTAACCCATATGTGGTTCTAAACAGCACTACAAAGGGGCACCAATGGGCACAATCTGTTGTGTTATACAAAATAATTGTAATTTAGAATATTTACTTAATTTTTGTGTGCACTCTGACTTGGAGTGTGACTTTCCATTCTTCAATAAAATTGTTACATCTAAGGCACCTCAACAAGTGTTGTAAAAAACAACCAAGAATTATTGCATACAAGAAATGCAACCGCTATTTTAGCCCTAACCACAATAGTTTTGTTTAACCCTAAGGGATATAATTGTCTAAACAAGTCTGAAGATGACCAAGAAGTTTAATGGTGATCATGATATAATGTGGTTTGTGTGAAATTACGAGTGTGATGATGCTCATGTTGTAGAAGGAATTTATTTTAGCCTTCAACTTTTTTAATTTGTATTTATTTGACATCTGCAGGACATCATGTTTAAAGCAGATTACTTAAGGTGAGAACACAGACCACAAAATCCAGGGTTCTAATTGGATATTCATACACAGATGCGTCACTTCACGCTGTTATCAGTTTAACAGAGAATAAACTGTATGTTCCCCATTAATAAAAAACAAGCTAAAGGACAAGAGAGCCATCTTGCAGAGGGAAAGCATCAGTTCTGCTGAAGCACATAAAAACTAGATTTAGCCAGACAGCCTCAAAGCACTTTTTAGCCTTTCATTATAGACTTTAAGGAGGTGATCTCGCCATCCAAAATAATGTTTAGAGTTGGTCACCACTCATAGAGTTTCTGCTAGGCTGGGGCTCCATGAATACAGATTTCCTTTGTAACACGAGTTTAAAATGATCTGCTAAAGTTTAAGAAAGAAATAAAATTGTACAATGTATTTAGAATACTAAAGCATTTATATGTTAACAGAACATCATACTTTAAATTTAGGCTTCTGTAGAGTGATTTTTGGCGTACACGTTATGAAAATAAGACGTAGCACTGAAGAAAGGTGAGGCCTGTATGTTTGGGGTGTTGCTTTTAAAGTTAAAAATAAAGCAAAAACAGGAACATGCCCAGTTCACATATCCAGATACTAACAAGATGAATACTACTACTCCTGTTTGTTAAGTGCTCTGATATATTATTAGTAAATATTTCAAGTCAAGACAGAGGGATACAATCTTAAATTCTGCTGACATCTTAGTCTTTCATGTATCCTAAATTATAATCAGTTTGGCTGCCGTGCCTGTTCCAATTGGATTCAAATGCTGACCTATGTCTGGGACAAGAGGGTGGAAAAATAAATAGGATTATTAAAACTATTATGGCCAAAGTGTTTCACAGAACATGTTCATTAAAAAAGATATCCAAAAGGCAAAAACACAGAGAAAAAAAATCCTCTGGGGCATCTAAAACATGCAATAGCCCACATTAATCTGCATTCCAAATTTCTTTTGAATCCCTCTAATTAAATCTCTCTGCTATCTCTCCTAACCAGGCAGACAAATTTGGGTTTGATTAGAAATACAGCAAATGTGAAAGGCAAAAATCCAGCAGGAAAGAGGGGGCCTGAGCCACAGCTGTGCAGTTTTTGCTGACGTGTCTTTAAAAATTCATGGCCCATAAAAGCAGGCCACGCAGACGGGGCTCTGGTGAGCAGTCTCTGACTGACGGAAATCACCGGGAGCAAACATGTTCAAAACCGCTGTATAAACTCTGTAAGCAGAGTGCATCCACACACACATAGCACACATGTTAAGAACAAAAACAATAGTAAGACATGCACTATGCATGTGTAAATGTATAAAGCTGCTCTGCATTTTTCTTCAGTTTCAGATTGGATGTAAGATACAGAACATGTGAGAGGAACACATGGCCCCCTTCCAACATCAAAACATTCTTGAAGGAAGCCACACATCCCAGGATGTTTTACCATTTTTTTTTTATTGGATTGCAGTGTTTGTCTTGTACAAGGCCATGGTTGCTTCCAGTTCACTTTCCTTCCTGAATCCTCCTTTTTTGGATAATGACTACGTCAAAACATGTATATGAAGACGCAACAAATCAAAGATTATTCATTTAGAAAGGAAAACTGAGGGAAGAGGAATTGGGCATTAAAATTTCAATAAGATAAAGCAAAAATTGCCAGCCACAGATGACTTTTTCCATGACCATGAGACTGTCCTGCAGACACAGACTGTAGCTTAATAAATTCAAACAGGCTTGATGTTTAAAAAGACCTCAAGCCTGCCAAATGTTTTAGACCTCACATAGTCAGCTAAAAAGATATTGATGTCCTTTTTAGGAATTCAGTGTATATAATCACCGTCCACTGTCTTAGTGATACACTACAGACTAGAAGCTTACCTTAGCGGAAATAGTCAATTTACCACGGCAATGTGCAAGGATCTGTCAAGCCAAAAATGAATGATAAATAGAATGATAAAAGGAAAAGTTCAGAGAAGGTGCTCTGCATCGTGTGCTTTTAGAGCTAAAGCACAGCAGAGAGGAAGGTGGTGGGCATTTGCAGTCATTAAAAATGTAAAGCTAATTTAATCTTTCCTCAGGCTTACAGAGTTCTGCTTTAAAGGGCAGGTATAAGAGCAAGATGAGACCAACACATTAGATTTTAAATCCTAGTTTACTTTTAGACATACAGTAGGTGCCTTGACATCACCCACCGGTTTATGAACTCATGTCTAGAAGCATCAGATCTGTCTGTGTGGTCATTGCAATTTGGCATTTTGAGAACCAATGGTGCTTAAAACCTCTGGAAGACCTATCTGAATACTTTTCAAGGCAAGTCTTTTCTTACCAGTGGATGTCTTTGTGAAGGAGGAACTCATGCTGATCTTTACATTTACAACAAATTGCCCAAATGCCGATTAACTGAACAGAAGGACCGTGACATCACTTCTGAAAGGCTGCCAACACAATCACAGGGTAAATGCTCCAAGCAAAACAGTGTTGGTAATATAAAGGCATCTATTCACAACAGGGCCTAAACTTGCATCTGGAATGTTAATGTAAGCTGTGCAGGTTGCAGCAAGAAGCTCAATGAGATAGCTTTTAAACATGTGTATTTGATGACATCTTGAAAATAAAAAAACAAAAAAAAATATGACCAACAGATCAATATTTACATCAGATACTCGTTTAAGTTTTCACAAAATTACAAAAAAGGACAAAATGCATGGGCGCACATGTCAGGACAGATGAACACAGATAAAGGTTATTGTACCAAAAGCACATACATACACGTTTGGAAATCCTCATGCTTAATCATGATTCACATTTCTCATTCATTCACAAACTGAGCAATGACAAAAAAATAAAAGGTGCAAATAATAATCTTAAGTACCATTCTCAATCCATTTATCAAAAAACATGCACAAAGTTAATTTCCAAATCTTGTTTAACATCATAATTTGGTCCCATTGAGCATAATTTGCATCAAATTGACAATAATGATGAAGGTTATTTATCTGACTTCTTCTCCAATTAATCCGATGAGCCAAGGTTTGCAAGGAAAAGCAAATATATTCAGCAATAGAAGTGTCACATTTTGAATTCACAGAACATTTAGTGTTTCTTGGAATCCTGTTTTACCTCCCATTAATTTAGTTGTCAAAGTGGAAGAAATATTTAACCCTAATATCGCAGAAAGCAGCATGTGAGCACCATATATCTTTGACCAGCTTGAGTTCAGTTTTGTTTTCGAAATGCAAAAGAGATTCAATGGATTGCTTTACTTTCTTCAGATTCTAAAAGTACAACTGCTGCCTGCATGCTTGGCTTTGCTTGAGCTTGCTTGTCATAACACAAATAAACAATAAAAGAAAAAACAACTGTTTGCTTAAATCTTCTTTACATGCCACCTTTAGTGAAATGGTAAGTAACTTACAAATCAGTAGCTCAGGGAAAATAAATGCCTTATGTACTCTCTCCTGCCAGTGAGAAAAGCTCTTTTTGGTCTTTGGTTTGTGAAAGGAGCCACGCTTTGAAGCACAACTATTTAATGTTTGCCTAATTTAGTAAAATGTTGAGGTGTTTGTATGATTTCTGCCTTATTAAAAAGCAGCTGATGCAGAACAGGTGAAAACGCTCCAGAATAACAAATTACATGAATGAGCAGCGTTTTTTTCTTCTATTTATTACACAAAGTAAGAAGGAAAAAAACACTTATCTGCTTTTCTTTTGCTTGTGGCCCAAAAACTTAGTTTTGTGTCCTTTTTCAGGGTGTTTTTCTGTTTTCAGCCATGTGGAAAATATTCTGAAGCCCCCTTACAACAACGAAATTGATGGAAACCATTTCATTTTATAATTAATAAATAAACTTCTGATTTTCCTCACGGCGGGGAAGGGGTGGAATCCCTTAGACTATAACGAACAAACCCAGAAGAGGAAATGGTCAGAGTAGTTCATGAGTAAATAAAAGTCACATATTGGGTTGAACAAATAAAACAACATACTCCAAAAGTGACCCATTTTAAAGTCTGAAGACTGAGCTCCCTCCTTTCTGCCGTCCATTTTCTATGATTTGAACCTTGTATATTTGAATGACTTCACACACATGGAAATCATTGGGGAAATGGCAGACCAATCTGCGTCTGTGACAGAGCCTGAACTCATCTCTTCTGTAACACGTCAATATTCCGGCAGGGGCCACTTCAATAATAGTTCTCCTTCTAAGATTACAGCAGTTCTTCATGGAGATGCTGTCTTTCATCACGTCCTGTTGCATTTAAGTCTCACAGCTCTTTGAGCCTCAAATGTCACATTAATGGGAAACACACTAAATCAAAACGACCCAGAGCTCTACTTCCGCACATCTCAAAAGGCACTGGACCTCATTCTGTTCAAGAGTGGAAAAGAACATAAAGCACTAACCTACTTTGAGTCTGAGGTTTGTGGTACACTCCATGCACACCCCATGCAGAGTTAACCTTTTGTTGCACTATAATAAGTATGGCACAATAACATTTCTCTATTTTAAATAACATTAAAGAAAGGAATTTGTAAAATCGAATAAGCACACCGTTTTTCACCCAGAAGACCAAAAAATACAAGTCAGCTCTGTCAACCACCACATGAGCGAGCTTGGCCAGACTCACTCCTATTCAATTCAAACATTTTGACTTCCAAATTCACTTCAAAATAAAATAGAGTGGCTGTTGCTCAGCTTTGCTCGCATAGCATGTTGTAGCAACTGAATATAGCCTACCTTTTTGAAGTGGCAGTGGAGAGGCCAAACAGTCTAACCAGTCTAGTGTCTGATCTCACAGATTGTCCCTACAGTTCCAAGCAGAATGCCCACCCCGCACTCAGGGTTAAAGCATTATGATCGTGTGAATCCTGCCTTGCTCTTTCTTTGTGCAACATAAAAAGCAAAACAGTACTTATAAAACAAAACAAAAGGAACACCGCGTCAAAGCTCAGAATTCCTGCATTCTGATGCAAAGTGAAAATAAAATAAAGTCTATTTAAACAAATGGATGTCCATCAAAAAACGTGGAATTGAGAAAAAAAAAGAAACACTTACAGAATGTGACATAGAGTCTTCATTATGTCACTACCTGTATGAAAATCCTCCGTTCCTCATGTCAGACCACAAGCACAAACATTAGTGCACACTGTATCAAAGAGTCTACTGTTCCCTTGGCTTGGCACTTGACAACTATAGTACAGTTACCAAGAGATGACTTCCAGCAGGCTCTCTAAACAAGTGGGTTAGTTTGTGTTCAACTGAAGTGCCTGTTAGTGTCAGAGTGATACCAAAGAGCCAGTCAGATATGATCAGCATTGAATGAACGGTGAGGTACCTGTGTGGAATTTTTTTTGTCTTGCTGAAAATAGTTATTTCAGATTCTTTTGATGATTGATGGTACAGATAAATTTAAATTCACATTAAACTCCCAAAAAAAAAGATCAGTAAAAAAAAAAATCACAATTGCCAAACTAAAACAACATGCATACACTTGAGTGTACTCTTTTTTTCCCTTTTTAGTAAAGGGTGAAAATGCAACTTGGCTAAACATTCATGGGGATATAGTTCGTAAGACTTCATTTCTAATGGCTCCTGCTTTGAGCTACAGCTCTTTCAGGCACCACAGAGAATGCCACTCGAGCAGTGTTGGGCAGAAAAACTGAGACAGATCTTTTCTTACACACACACCAGGCAGCTTTCACTGCTTGGACCCCATGCCATTTAGTTTTTTTTCTCTCCATTAAATTCCACTCCTATTCAACCCACTAGGTACCAGGACACCATTATGTCTCCCATGATCTTCGTACTTTTTTTACTCTTTCAGTGGGTTTTATCATACCCCCTTGGTCTTCCACTCCCTGTGTCTCTGTTTGACAAAAACCCAGAGGGGGGTTGGTTCCAGCTGCCCCATATGTCAGATACAGTCTTCAGTGTACAAAGGCCCAACCTCCACACCTATTCACAGCTTAGGCTTTCTGAGGAAATACACACAAACATATATTCTAGGAGAGAGGTCTGGCCAGTTTGGGGAATGTATGAACATTTTACGCTTTTTGTTTGTCAGTGTGTGTGTATATGCCTGCATGTGTCAGCGTGTTTTAGTGTAAATTTCAAGGGATTACGTCGGGGGACTGTAGGAAAGTGTGTGGATACAGATGCAGTAAAAGAAAATCCTCAGAGGAAAATACACACTTCACCTCACTGAGTGACAACCGTCTTCTGCTTTGACCCCCCCCCCCAAATGTCTTCATCTGCTGCCTGAAACCCCACAAAGCCTCAGCGGACCCTTCCCTTTTCTCTCTAACTCCCTCCATTCTGAGGGGGACAGTGGCCCACCCTCATGCGCAGGGTGCCACTTTTGTGCAGCTGCCACAGCTGGACAAACTCCTCGGGCATGGCGTGGAACCACTTGTAGGGCAGGATGTTGTCGTAGTAATGGTGGCTGACCGGTTGCTCGTCCAGGCCCACAGAGAAGGGCCAGAAGCCGTACGCCGTCACCTCGTCGCAGAGGCCCAGGGCCAAACTGATGAGGAAGAGCCCCGTTGAGAGACGTTTGGCGTGCACGCCGCGGCCCTTCCAGAATTTGCCGACCGTGCGCAGGAATTCGGGGTTGGCAAAGAGCATGGTGAGGTTGGAGGAGGTGTCGGCCAGAGCGTAGTACGCCCGCAGGGACGGATCAGTGCCGGGCCTCATGGAAAAGGCTGGCATGTAAATGTAGCTGGAGCCGTAGACCTTCATGCTGTCCACGAAAGCTTTTCTGGACCATAGAAGGTTCTGGAACCTGAAGAAAGAGAGAGTGACGGAGGGTCTATCATGCTTTGCAGAGCACTACAGTTGTCTGCTCAAATATGCTGCTGAGTGGCAACTGAAAAGGTGAATATTTCTGAGAACTGTTAAAAAATAGGGTTTTAATGTGAAATTCAGCTTTTAATTGTCAAAAAATATGTGCATTTGAAATTGCAGGACAAAAATAAATGGACCTGCAATCAAAATGTTTTTTCCTTTTTTTACGTATTCTTTCAGTCTTGAATTAAAAAAAACCCTTTGCTGATACTTATTGGCTTTTAAAATAGAGTGTCAAACAGGTTTATTGCTCGTTAAAACCCCAGTCTTTTTTTTTAGCTTAATGCATGTTTCACTTTCCATTTATGCCTTCTTTAAAACCTTTTAACTGTCAGTATCAGGTCCCTAACAAAACCCATTCAATGTTTCCACCTGATGATACTGAGATGCTAAATAATACTCTGTGCTCACATTCTATACAAGCTATCAGCGTTTGAGACAATGTGCATTTGTTCTACTTGACAGTAAGCATGTTACCTTTTCTCAATGATGCTGGGGTTGGCAGTCACCAGATGGGCTCTTGTTCCCACATCCTCCACATATTCCTTTGACAAGGGGGGAAGGTTACACCTAAAATAGGAATAAACATGTGACACATACAGGAAATGTACATGTACACATTCAGACACGCACACAAACCGATTCATGAGAGCTACTTTGACTACTTAATGGATTTACATGTTTTATTGGAATTGATTATAGTATTGAGAAGAGCCAGATGAATGAGCGGCTTACTCACGAGTCCGCTTCCTTTGAACAAGATGCCTTCATTATTAATCAACCTCCATTCCCTCACTTTGTTGTTTCCTTTCTAAGTGAAGCTATGAGAAAGATGTCCGACCTCAAAAGATTTATACGTCATTTGGATTGTCAAAGAACAGCAGATATACCCTTGTTTTTTTCTTGACAGGCCTCCTAATGCTTTTCTTCTCAATGCAATGGAAAAACCCGGAGGACAGCGGAGGAGGGACGGAGGAGAAAAGCAGGCATGCAGCCACAAGCTGGTGTAAAAAAAAAAGCCCCCAGAGGAAATCTTCCTTCCTCTGTGAGGATATGGGATTTTCCAAACTGCGTGCAACCTCAAGGAAGCAAAAGTATGAGCTGTTAGTGAGGAAACTAAGGGACATCCTTCCATGCATCCGTCTCCCATCTCCCCCCCTTCCCCACGAAAGCCTACTGGGAGTATCTGGCACAATGAAAAATACAATACTTCTGAGATTTCCTTAATTCGGTTATGCCTCCCCATCTGGCACCCACTCAAATTCCCTAGAATCCACATTTGCAAAAAAATTGTTCCGAAACCACTTAGTCATCATGATATGACTAAGGGGAAATCTTTTCAACCAGACGATTAGAAGTTGCAGATTTTCAGAAAGAGACTTGAGAGTAAAAATTCAAGTGTGCATTTGAGGGGCTCCAACCCCAACGCCCAAGGATAAAGATCCAATGTTAATCACATCTGCTCCCGTTTTGAACTAATTACTATGCGCCCGGCAACATTGAACGTAATGAATGTAGGAAATGATGCAGAGAGTCTGGGGCAACATTCCCCTAAAAGGAGCTTTTATTATGGTACTAAAGGTGAAGACTTCACAGTGCTGATAGCGTTAAATAATAACTGGCTATACACAAGTTGGCTTTTTGGGGGAGAGGAACAGCCTTCCTTCCTTCACACTCAGGAACTCTGTAAGGCATTTGCCTGTGAGGGGGGTTGCTTCATTTACATTTTCAAATCAAATAGTCCTGCTTCCTCTTCGTTCAACAGCCCTTTGTTTCAAGCTTAAGTTAAAAGTACTCTGTTTTATGTTTTAAATCTGATTTCTAGTTGCTGCGGAACTTCTGATTTTGAAACTTTTGTTAAAAGTGGCCCAAAAAGAAACCATTGAAACATTTGTTTTATATGATTAGCTCAAGGTTTATTCAAAACACAGAGGAATGTACAGACAGTGCAGAAAATAGGAACTATGGCAAGATTTTTGAGTGGACTATCAACCCTTTGCTTTGTACATGGCTTTGAAGTGTTTTTCCATCATTGTGAACCTTAGTGTGAGAATGGGTGGCTGTTTTCTGCTTACTGAGAGCATTTTGTGTCCAATCTACATTTGCTTGGTTGCTGAAAACTGTATTAAAGAGCTAATTCAAGATACACTTCAGAGGGGAAAGACAGCCGAGTCCTTCTCACATGTAACTAAAGCATGAGCTGTAATGAGGACTAAAGTAAAATCATAGCTTTAAATGGAAGCTGTAACCTCCCTCTGTGTGTCAGATTGACTCCTTTCCTTTAAAAACAAGGCCTGACTGAAAGTCATACTATACTGTATTTCTTTCTATATGATTCTACTAAGGTCACAACTTTCCAGTTTCCCTATTTTAAAATATTTCTGTACCAAACCAAGTGGTTTCCTTCCACTTTTTCATACGTCTCTGTGATCTTTGCTTCTTCTTTGTCTTGACTTCACTGTGACCCATTTTCCTGTGTCTCTGTCTCTGAGCTACACTTGATAGCAGCTGTCGTTATCATAGCTGGTGCTCCTGGGCACAGCTGATTCAAATTTGATTGAGTTTTGAGTTGCAAAGCACTTCGTTCATGCATGCCCTCGCACCACGAGAGTGTCCACCTCTTACCGCATTATGAAGTCGGCTTGGTCGATGTCCCGTCCACACTTGCTGTGCCGGAGGATGCCCCCGTTGCCCACCACTGCGCACTTCTTCAGGGGCAGATGCAGCGGGTTCTCCTGCCCGGTCAAAAAGGGAAGGCATGTTGCTTTATTGGTAGTTCCAAAGCCATGGGCCCAAAATCATCACACAGGTTACACAGAAAGAAGTGATCATTTCTACTTGGGTAAGATTCCAGCGTGTAGGCTTTGAGATTTTTGTTTTTAAAAGCAAAAACCACCAAACACATCATATCTGAGAATGTATTTCCTCTATGTGTTATTCAAACTGGCGTGGTGCTCAATACAATCACACAAACATTTATAAGTTGAAACAAACAACAAATTGAGATCTTTGCATCAGCATAGGTTTTGAGGAAATTCAACCCGATTTTAGCCCAGTACCAATGAGAGCAACATGGCGCTCATCATTCAAAGAAATTACACGAGTGACATCTGAAGAATGTGTTTGAAATAGCCGATTTAAAAGTAATATTCCTGCGCTAGCACGAGATAAAAGGTTGTGACCGACTCAGCCAGAGTGATGGGTGAGTAAATCCTTTTGAAAGAGACAACATCCAGAACAAACAAAACTCATAAGATCTCAAAGTCATCACGGTTAAAATGTTCTCAACCATGCCCTGCATATTTCAATCTGAATTGATTTAAGACTGTTACACCTGATAACCGCCATGTCTGTTGCATATTGGTGGGTGACATAATGCTTTTTGCTTATTCATTTATTATGATTGTTACCTGGATTAATATCTATTTTTCACTTTTCCTTTTTTTTGTTATCATGTCTACGGCACCAGTCACAATAGTTCTGAAGAATTGGTTTAAGTCATATAAAAACACAATTGTGCACACCGAAGTGAATTTGGGTCAAAATTTTCATTTGAATTATTTTCAACAGCTGCAAAAATCAAGCAAAACAACAAGTGTTGTACAGATGTGACAACTTCCTATGTGGGATGGTATTAAAATCTCTTTTTTCCCCTCACTGTAGAAGGGCTGAACTTTTTTTCTTTCTTTCTCTGACTCAAAACCAGCAGCTGTCATAGTCACAACCTTATCGGAACCTTCGCTGCAGAGGAAACTGAGACACCAAACTTAAAGAAGCAAAGGCCAAAAATGTCTTCTCCCTGTGCCATGACAGCCTTTAAGTCTGAGGCACGGATTAAGTGAGATGGTGGAAACAATCATGTTCCTTATTCCCCTTGAGTGTGTATGCATGAGAATTCACACACACACAATTCTCTTTGCCTCAAGGTCTCTTTTGGACCATGACAGAGGGGAGGGGGGGGGGGGGCTGAGTCAGCAGACAACACTGAAAACAAGGGGGAGGAGAGCTAAAAAGTTGAGATAAAGCTCGACATTTACTAAACTAGCACAAAACAGAGCAACCGCCACAAAGTTATATCATTATTATTTATGCCAGTCACCAGTATCGTGGATAATTATTCCATCAAATTCCCCCCAAATCAAGTTTTCGCTCCGCTTGTTTCATCAAAGCAGAAACATTGACTTTCCGAGGTGCATAAAAAGCATGATGGCATCAGTGGGGATTCGAAAAGTAACGATGGCAGGAATGCAGAGTTCAGTCCACAAAGCCCTGTGTGAATATGCTTTGTTTGAGCCATACAACTAACCAGCAATTAACCGGCAAAGCCCTAATTGGCACATTCCCTGGCAGGTGCCCAGGTTGGGTGGCTGCTGCCAGCTCGCCGTAGGATTGGCCGGGTGTCTGTGTGCTCAGACCTGCAATCATACGGCTGGTGGTTGAGGATGGTCAGAGTCAATCATCCCGTATAACTATCAGGTAGGCTTCCAGAAAAAACACATAACTGGCCAGGGGAAGTACAGGCTTGGACAAAAGACGCAGCGTTACTTGCACAGAAGTTGTACAATGTGGCAGACGAGTGCAGTAACCTTCGTCAGCTTAATTTGTTGGAGTAAGAAACCAAGAAAAACAACTATGAATGGCATATGAGTGTTATTCAGAACTAATGGCAAGAACATAGAAATACCATACTGCAGCGTGAGATGCTACACTGTTAAGTGATGTTCAAAACATACAGAAACACTTAAAAAAATGTACATAAGACGACTTTTTTTAAGTAAAAGATACAGTTCGGCCAAAGCACAATTTCTACAAAAACAAAAGCAGTTGCTGTCTGTTACTGGATGTTGACTGAAAGGCTAAAGTGTCTGATAAGAGCCATACATCCGTTTAAAGTAAATAGATTTTATAAAGTCTACGGAAAAGTGACTTTCAAATAGTTATCTCATGTTGCTCAAAAGGTTATCTTTCAATACATGGAAAAGGACAGAGTGAGCAGGAAGTTGTGGACAGAAATTCATATCCTTTTAGCTCAGCATGTAAATTTAAAGATATTCATAGGCGACTATTCAAAAGTAACTGATTGGTGATGAGCCGCAGTCATTCTAAATGACAACAATACCAAAATGTTCTGGGGCATATGCAAGACTTCATTCATGGCATTCTACTTCCTTTTTTTGTGTTCAACTCAGCACATATGAACAATACACACACACACACACACACACACAAACAGGTTCTGATCCATTGGTTGGTGGTTGACAGGTGAGACTTAAACAGATTTGAAAGATTTCTTTATCTCTAGTTAAAAATTACTTTCTTCAATGTTGCTGTCTTTGTAACATTTTTTCTCTACACTTTTTACACTATATTGGATTTTCTATTGACTCTCAAAGCCACATTAAAGGGAGAAAGCGGCTCACAGCAAAGCTATTACTGTCTTTACCATTCCATCAATCCCAACTGCCGCAAAATCCTTTACCTGATTTGCATTTCAGTGCAGAGATTAAACTAATCCGTGTCATAGCTATCTCAAATTGTAAGGAAAGTAATGCAAAAACTCTTCCTTTTGCCGATAAGGTAAAGGACTGCCATGCAAAATGCTGATTAAATTAATCCGAGTGTTGCATCACCAAAACCCTAAATGATGCTTCAAAATAGCCTAACTTGGGAAAGTCATAAAAACAAAACAAAATATTTTGCAACATAGCAAAGAAAAAGAAGTTAAACTCCACATCTGCTCATTCTGAATGCTGGAAGCAAACCATGACTTCTGGTAACTTTGCCCAAATCAACTTGGCCTAAAGATGGTTTGGTGGTTTGAAATGAAAACCTTATGAATAAACAAATAAAGGCCTGCTATGTGAAGGTGTGGTTTTTAATCCACTGCTGGTCTCGTCTTGCCGTTTCTTCATTAATTCATCCACACCTCCCCCATCCTTCATGAATGAACATGCAAAGCACAGGCCTGCAAATTAGGGTCAGATATTCATCACGGTCACCAACTAGGAGATTAGACTGCATACACGCAGCCACGGAGGCTGGCCTCCTTCTCAATCAATATTGAGATCTGCTTTCCCTGGATACAAAAACCCCCAGCAACCACTCCCCCCCACCGGTTGTTCTTGTTTCCAAGCACAAATACCCTCATCCAGATGCACAGTCACAAACGCCCACACACTCAGCAACGGATAGTAGGAAAATGAATAAACGAAGTGTTCTTATCTGGGTAGACAAACATATGCAAAGAGGCAGATGAAGACATGCCAAGTCTATTTTCAACCCAGCTGCTCTGTACATCCCCACCCTCTGCATCCTCACAAAACTGTAAATATCAATACAGACTCCCTTCACAGCGATAGTGCTGTAGTGGTTATCTTCTCTTCCCTTTTAGAGGATGACTGCACACCCCCCGCCTTTCAGTGTGGATCCCCCTCAGAGCTCACCCTCCCCATAAGAGTCATAAAGCACTAAGTGAGAGGGAACTTGTTTTCCATCGTCTGCTCTCAAGATTGCTGTTGCCATGTTAAGCCTGATAACAATCCCAGCACAACGACATATACTCAAATCAATATTAGCACTGCTTTCAAATGAAATGTTCAAACCGTACCTGTACAAAGAGCGAGTAGGTCTCGTTGTTAACGGTGTGCGAGTGGTAAAACTCGCCGTCGTACCACAGCACTTTGCCCAGTGGCGAGTTCTCCTTGGTCACCGCAAACATCCGCCTCGGGTCGCAGCATTCTGTCAGCAGCTTTCTGTTAGTTAGGAGAGAGATGAAAAATAAGTCGGGCCCTGAATGACCCCTGAAGCTATTTTTTCATCCAGTAGGACAAAAGCCAGGGTCAGTCCAGTGACCGTGCACCAACCTATGTTTATTAAGTCAAATAATCACATTTTGCAACAAAAAAAGGCCTCACACAAAAGCTCCTTAAAGCTCTACAGATAAGCAGAGTAAATAAGCTCAACCATGGTGAGCATCCTCCTGCAGACCTGGCTGCTGCTCTGCAGGTGTCACTTTCTGTGATGATCCTAATCGGCTTTGCTTCTGAGAATAACCACAACCGAATGAGGTTTAAATAAGACTGCGACGGTGTAACCAACACGCTCTGTTGATCTGGCTTGTGTCCAAACCCACTGCAGCCAGCCGGTCGATTGAAAGGCATAAAGAGACTCCAAATATATGTCTGTGATATAAGAATCATTTTGCAGGATACCATGCATCCTGCAATGATTTAAGACCCTTCAAAAAACGACTGAGGCGCAAATCTAATTGCAACACTGAAGGGGCTGAAGGCAAACAAAGGAGGTCCCGGCCCATGGGAATGGGAATGATCGGGCCTCGATTTAAGAAAACATATGAAACCATCAGACGAAATGTGAGCTCCGGGTCAGACCTGTACAAATCGATGCCGGTGTGGTTCTTGCGCCACGCGTCCCCCTGCCTCAGCACCTCCTCCACGATCTCTTTGTCGCGGGGGACCCGGTAGTCCGGGAACACGTAGAACCAGCACAGCACCAGGACGCACAGCGCGGCCCACACCGACAGCTTGGCCCGGTAGCATCTCGCCAACATCTTTCCCAAAACCCCTGTCGTCCCCTCTTCTCTGGTTTGGATCAGAACGGGCGCGGCGTGCGCGCAGACCCCGGTGCGGCGAAACGCAGGCTGGATTCAAGGCTGTCCGAAGAGCCCGTGGGGAACCCACGACGCATCCCGCGTGCGAGGTGGAGACTGAACGAGGTTGCAGGGTGGTCGCTGGCTCTGGCCGCAGAGCATCACCACCATCATCGCTTTATTGGGATGAATGAGGCGCTGAATCACGCTGCGCCAAAGTCCAGCCGGGGTGGCCGTGCGCCCTGACCATCACCCCCCCACTGAACCCCCTCTGCTGTCCCCCCGGAGCTCCCGCGGTCCTTCTGCACACCCCGCGCCGCTAACCAACCGGACTGGTTCAATTTAGAGTCGCTCGGCCTCCCCCTTCTTCCTCCGGTGTGCACACCCCCCCACTCGCAAAAGACAAAGTGCTTCTTGTGCTGACGAAAGTGTGTTAAGGTATTTCAAACGGGGCACGCCGGAAAGGAGCCTTCACATTAAAAGGGCAAACAGACCACCTCTTTTTTCCCTCCATAAATGTGGCCCTCTAGTTTGTCTGCAGGGAACATGTGGGCTCAGGTTCAGGGATCCAAAAGGATTTACAAAAGAGAAGTAAATGGGATGTAAATAGACTATCAAAGAAAACATTTACATCAGGAAACATTATGTACCCAAAGGCATGTAAAACAGACATCATATAAGAGCTGGAATGAACAAAAGGCTTCCTTAAAAAAAGCTAAGTGGACACATTGCGACATAGGATGGAAAAAGAACTGCACTCATTTAGTACTTTTTAATATATGAGTAAAGAAAGTGCTTTATCATACATGCAATTATTTACCAGCATATTCAGTCAGCACAATTTTTTTTTTCTAGTGTAAAAAAGAAAAAGATTATGACCACAAAACTGTTGCAAAATTATTAAAATAATGTGTAAAACAACCACACCCCGTCTGGTGACCATTGATGGGTGCTTTTTCCTGAAGCTTTGTTTTAATTGATAAGATTGTCTGTCACCTCATACTCCAGGAAGAATAAAGTTTTAAGGTATCTTTGTGTTCAGAGATTAAGTACACACACAAAATGATATGCCTACGCATAACAAGAGAATCTGTTGAAAAGATGCATTGCTAAAATTAAATTTGATTTACATCTGCAGCTTCCGGCATATTTAAAATGTTGTCAAGTTGTCCACAGAACTGCTGATGTTTTAATGATGTTTAATTAAGGTGTGTTAAAGAAGGGAAACCTGCAACAATTCAGGCCTGGAATTGCACAGCCCTGTTCTCAGCACAATGGTTTATAATATCTAACATCATGGCAACTGGTATTTTTAATGTATTGGTCTCAACCGTTTTCTCATAGGTTCTTATTCTGAAACAGCTTCCTTTCATGGTCTTGCCTAGTTTCTGCACACCGGTCACGCTTGCTGCAGAGTGCCAGCCTTTCTCTGTCCTATCCCTTCTGAGATCTGTGGACTGAGGTCCTGCCTCCCCCTGCTGGACTGTGTCCACAACGCTGTAGAAGGATGTCAGATGATTGAGATGATGATGATGCAGATGCAGATGCGACTTCATCTCCATGTCGGTGAGAAGACCATAGTTGTCTTCCAAATGAAAAATGTCACACTTCACAAAATTTTCTCTTGGATTTAGATTTTTGGAGTAAAAGCAGTAGCTCATCCTTCCATCCATCCATCCTTGTAATGTGTATTAAAATAAATCAATAAATACAAACTCTGCTGACCTCCTGTGGACAAAGTCAGTAGCCAGACTTTATTCAGCTGCTTTGTTTTCCTTAAAATAAATCTATGTGGACAGAGGGATCCATAAAGGATTTTGAATAACCCAAACCTTTTAACGGCAAGCTGTGCTTGTGGTCTCTGAATGCGTAATTAACTTTAAAGGAAAGTTGATACCTTCAGTATTGTCTTTCACCTGCTTGTGAAGTCACCCAGGGTGAAACACAAGTAGGTATTCCAACAGAAGACAGAGATTGAGGAGACTTCTCCATGCACAACATCCCTTTCTGAGTTAGTATAAATACACAGGCGCAGGCTTATCAAAGCGAGGTGTGGAGAAATGCGTGCTACTCGGGGCACTCGTCGCACCCTGCTGGGAATATTGGAGGGCAGAGTCAAGGTTGGAGCCGCGGCCACAGGGATGCCATGGTGGGCCACTTGGCTGAAGTCATGCGTCAGCTGTTTGCTGTGGCCTGTGTGCAAACAAAGGTGTTACCATGGAATGATCAGGCAGGCAGCAATGGAGAAGAAAGATGGAAAAAATAATTGTTGTTCGATCGTTGTAAGCAAACATCACGCTGTAGGAGTGGTGCAAATGTTCAGAGAGCAGGGAAGTTTGGAAAAAATCCACAAGATCACACTGGTTAGCTTTTGTTGAGGCTTGACATTGATGTCTATTGCGCAGATGTGAGTTGGACTCTATTTCTGTTTGAAAGTTTATTCCTGGATGATAATCTCTTATATTTGATATTTCATTGCGTGCCAGGTGAGATTCTTCACATGACACTTTCGACTCTAGCACTCCCTTGTTGAATACTTGTGTAGGAAAAACAGAACTTTCTATTCAAAAAAGAAAATCTTTTGTTTTGATTTATTTATTTTCATTTTAAACCCCTGCATCTAACAGAATCCACACCATAAATTTGGAACTTTTTATTGATTTATACTGTAAAATGAGAGAATTAGGCTGAAAACATTAAGGCACAGCAATATTTGGATTTGTTAGATTGATCAGTGAATCCTCATTATAAGAGTAAGCCTGTATAACTGACCATGTCTTTCTGCTGATGTGTCTTTGACTGGTTATTTTTATAGCCTGCTGTCTTTGATATTCTCTGTGAAAGCTGGCATCTGTATCATCATTTTTCAACAGATGCAGTTTGTAAATCGAAATAACTATAGCACTTTCACACAAAAAAGGTACAAAACTGTTTATGGTGTGATTTGGTCCGTTTTGAACCAAGGACAAATTATTTATAGGAAGCCTCTGCGGACGGTGGTTCAGTACAGCCAAGTTCAAGCCTTATCTGAGCAAATATGACAAAGCATTTTCTAAATGTGTACTCTGCTGCTTGTATAGTTTAACAGAATTTTTAAGTCAGATGATTTTTAAGTCAGATGATCAGGTTTATCTTTAAAATGCAGAATAGCATGTTGACAATTAAGAAATATATATAATCATCATACAATACAGCATGCAAATAAAGCATCTGATCTAATGTGTGTTATGCCACAGGCTCGACCTCTGCGTCTCCTCAGGTACTAAACAATGTTCTTTTTAAGCTGTTACCAGAGACAACATCAACATCAGGGGCGAAATTTATAAAGGTTTGCAAATCACTGAGGATTTCACATCACTTGATGGATGCACACAGTAACGTGGCTATTCTTTCTTCTCATCCCCAAATGTAACCCATTTACAGCAGTAACAGTAGAATATCCACAACAAGCAGCCCCCCCAATACCAAAGCCTTCCTATTTTTCCTTTTGGGTATCTGTGCAGAGGCAGGAGGGAGTTGGGTTGCATCAGAAATAGCACTCCCACCTGCTGAGGATCACTGGAAAGAAAAAAGAAAAAAGACAGAACATTTGTTGTCCCCTGTGTCTTTCCTCCTTTTATTGGATCTCACTGCTCACTGAGGTATTGTCTCTGTGTCTCCTGCTCTCTTTATGTTGTACAGAACCTGAAAGAAACAAAGCATAGCACTTCACCCTGTAGAACTAAAATAATGAGATCTTTGAGGGTCTATGTCAAAACAATACCCATCTGTCGCTGGAGCATGACAAAGCCCTGAGATATAATTTAAACGATAACATCTTCAATCTGTGGTGCAAGGATTTATTGAAAATGGAGTAAGAGAGATTACTCAAGTGTGGGCTAGAGGAACATTGCTGCACCTCTCAAAATGCCCTTTGCAAAAAGTCAAAATTTACAATGATTTATTTACATTTTCTAAACTTGAATCATGGAAGACTTGTATTTAAAAAAACAACATAAATCACTGGCAGGCCAGTGAAGCAAACTCAATGAACCTCATTTTTAACATGTCAGTCTCGAAGCCTATGCATATCATATTCATTCTCACTATTGTTTGTAATCTCAGTGAAGCCTTAACAACCACGGAGAGCAAAGGTTCATCAAAGAACCCCATGTGGCTGCAGTGAAGACGTCCTTGCGGCTAATGCTTTGTTTACCAAAAACATCTTAGCGCTTGCATCAGCTTTATTCCAGTATAAGCCAATGGAAAGAGTAGACACTTGATGCTCAGGGGTTCAATGATTTGTCCAAGCTCCAGTCAAGATTAGCACTCGTGGTTTGGAATCTTTAAAAAGTCAAGGCAAGGCATTGTTGACAGCAGATGCAAACAGAAAAAAACACACATAAGTGAAGAAAGACCGTAGAGATGGTCAGACGGAATACCAATACTGCCCTAAGCCACCAAGACTGTAACTGATTAAAGCTGAGGCTAATCATGATAATTCATGTTACAGTAAAATGAAAATAGGGGCAGAATACAGTTTACCGAGGTTGGTTAATATCCAGTGATACAAGCAAGACCAAACCTGGCTTAGCAGCAGATTCCCTGAGTGTCCTTTATGGCTTATCAATGCAGCACCTATAGACATAAGAAACACACAATCATACATCCTTATGTTGTACTTCTGATATCTGATATTCAGTTCTCTCTATGTTATATTTATCGTTATTTACACGTGGCATTATTTTGTCAGTTTACTGTTGGAGAGTAACTGTCCGTTCTTCAGTGTGTTGCCACTTTGCTAATTGTGGGTTTGTTTGTCTGTGCAACGTGTATTTAATGGATATGGACATGGTGATTTGTTGAAATGGTAGTTTACTTGAAGCCAGTCTGTTGTGTCTAATCATTGTCTCAGATGAAATCCCGCCACACTTGATAAATTGTTATCATCATGACTCATTCATTTCATGATGTGTGCTACAGTTTGATAAAAAGTCATGTTTCCCATTTCACACACACAAATGATCAGACATGCATAGAATATGTAGCTGAGATTAAAGATTTCCTTCACTCTTCTCATACTCACTGGTGGTGATACTGGCTGAAAGCAGTTTTTTTTATAGGAGGGGGGCCCAGAGCTATTCTTAGTCAATGATTGTGAGCTTTTGTCATTCACGAGGGCTTTAGGTGTGTGGTATACTCATCCACTGCAGCATTATTGCTGAGACAATGGGCCCTCTTTGGCTCCTAAATATGAATGTAATTGCTAATATTACAAGCTTACTTTAGAAAGGCTAAAAGTAATCATTGTCTTGGTTGAATACAGACTAACTCCTAACTCAACATCCATCCATCTATATTTGCCAAACTTGAACCATGAACCTGACAATAAATGAGCGATGGGCTTGACAGGGCTTGAAACTTTTTGGGTTTGAGTAAACTTGCTGATTTGAAGATGTATGAATGAATAGAAGCTTTTATTTGTTAGAGCAGTATATCTAAACAACAAGTATAGACAAATCAAACCCTATGATTCAAGAAAAATCCCCCAAAGATGGAAGTACTGGTATGAAAACAGTTTGAGATTATAACACAAGAAGAACAACGTGTTCAATGGGGTCTTTACCAGGTTAAAAATGTTGAAGAGCAGGTACTATTACACAGAAAACGTTAGCGGTTAGTTACAGTTTTAAGCCCTATATTAAGATTTTAAAGGGTCTCTCATTGGTTCCAGCAGCACGTGATAACTAAGAATTCATAAGATCACAAAAGCTCTCGATTGGACATTTGTGTTTACAGCTACAGAGTTTTTAGAAATTGTTTCAATGCAATAAAGGACAATATCCTGACAATATACCATTAAAGTTATGCTCATGATGTATTATTACACTTCCCCTGGTGTTGTCGAAGTGTTGGGGGAGGTGATATCCCATGCAGGGTCCCATGCCAGCACATTCTTGGGACCAGACGTTATATTTGCTGTCCACTCACCACCCACCCCAAATAAAAAGCTGCTCCATTGTCTACGGCAGCTGGTGTTTGACGCTCTGCTCCTCTGCTGACACCCTCTCACAGGTAAAACTATACCTATATTCAATGCTCTGAGTGAATTTGAAACTTGTGTTTAATGTTGAAAACTGACCACTTTTCTTCTGATTGAGGGTGAATCATGGCGTGGGTAAACCATGTGGGTATTGTCAGTGTATATTATTTTAATCTAAATTATATTCCAGCTCTGCTGCTAGTTCAAACACTGAAGTAGATGTTGTTTGTGTCAGCTAGAACAAAAAGCTAATTTGAAATCTGTTCAAAGCTAAGTTTCATTAACAATACTACTAAAATGAATAGTTCTGAAAATATTAAAGGGAACTGCTTTTATAGGGTCCTGGAATCTCTTTGTCAAATTGTTTGGGAGACTGTGTGCTGTCCATAACCATACCTGAATGTAGTATTCTATGAATTGAGCAAATGATCCAAATCACTCAATCACTCAGAAATGACCACAGTGAACATTTCTTTTTGTGCAGGTGTTTGATTTCGTTATAATAGCTTGGTGAGGTAAGGAAATTTCTATAATCTTCTTATTTGTATCGTTGTCAAGATGTAAACCCAACTGTTTGCTCAAAGCATCATCAGCCTCATTTGTCTCTCTCTGTGTTTCAGGAGCACCACAGTCCCAGAGCCATGAATCCCAAAGGGGATAAGGTGAGCCAGCCATGTTCCACTGTGTTAATCCTCCATGCATGGAGAGGGAACACATTGTCCTTACAGACACGGCAAAGATGTGGCTGTGGTTATCTGTCAGAATTGTTATCAGCATCCCTGAGAGCTTTCCACTTGACTCTATACTAATAATAAACCATTATCTATTCACGTGTGGCTACAGTAACTGGTGTTGAGTTTGAAACTCACCACAAATCTTTACTGTATATGGATCAGATCCTTTATTTGCAATTTTAGCAGAAAGATAAGCATGATGGATTTCTTTCTTTTAGCATTGTTACACAGAAGGGCTTTGTTTCTTGGTCTTGTAAACATTTGGAATAGTCTTTTGCTTGTGCTCACCACCTTACAAATCAACACTAACCCTCACCTCTTGACTTCAGTTCTTCAAAATGTGGTATCCTTTTGACATGTGAAATGGTTCTCACAAAATTCCTTTTGATCTCAGCCGAAGTCGAAGATTTCGGCATCTCGCAAGCTCTCCCTCAAAGTGAGTAATTCTTTCATAAATATTATTTTCTTTAATTCCACGGTTCTTCAGGTTTACCCAAACAAGCACTGACACCGCCATAAATGTGTTCAAAAAGGACTGATTTCTTAATATTTTATATCGCATGTTGCAAGGTAACTTTTCAGTTTCCATAATTATTTTGGATAGTACATTGTGAGACTCTTGGACAGGATATGCTGTACATCTGCATTTATATTAGTAGAGTATGACAAATTCGATGTAAGTGAAGGACTTTTCAATGACCACACCCAAACACCTGTGACTCTGTTTTTTCCCCCTCAGATGCTGCTCCTCACAAGAGCTTGTGAGGATTTGGAGAGGGAGAAGCAGGATCGGGAGGAGGAGAAAGTGCGTTACCTAGGAGATAAGTTGCCCCCATTGCAGCTGTCGGGGCTTTCACTGGATGACCTACAAGTAAGACACTGAAATGGCTAAGAACAACATTTTTAGCAGGAGGAAATGTATTCACATTATTAACAATACATCATGTAAACAATAAAAACCTCTCTTTTAGAAACTGTGCAAACAACTTCATGAAAAGATTGATGTTGTGGATGAGGAGAGATATGACTGTGAACACAAAGTGGTCAAACACAACAAAGATGTAAGTTCCAATTCCTTGTCAATACACAGTTGAAATTCATTGTCATCTTGCTTGAAGCTTTGTGATCATTTTCACCAGCTCAGCATATATTAGAAAACCATTACGGGATATAATAAGGCTGATATTTCCTTCCATATAATTCCAGATCCATGAGCTGAAACTGAAAGTACAGGACCTTGGAGGAAAATTCAAAAAGCCTGCCCTAAGGAAAGTGAGAGTATCAGCAGATGAGATGATGAGAGCTCTTCTGGGCTCCAAACACAAGGGCTCCATGGACTTGAGAGCTAACCTCAAGTCTGTGAAGAAGGAGGATGTCAAACAAGACAAGGTAACAGAGCCAAACATCCCAAACAAACCAACTTTAAGTTTGTTTCATCTATAGAAATTTGTGATGATTCCCAGAGAGCAAAGACTTTGGCCACTCTTTAACATTACATCAGCTTGTCTCTGAATTTGGATTTTTCATGATTCCCCTTTTCCCCAGGTGCTCACCTCTGAGGTGGGTGACTGGCGTAAGAACGTTGAGGCCATGTCAGGCATGGAGGGCCGCAAGAAGATGTTTGACACAGCTGGTGGAGCACAGTGAGACGGACCAGACAAAGGAGATCATCATCTAAAAGCAGGGGGAAACACAATAGTTTCAGCATGCTCATCAGGAGGCTTGCTGACATTTGTTTCCCAGCTTTTTTGAGTGCAATGACTCAAGCCATGTTAACTGACTAGAGACACACTTTTTTGATATTAAAAATATTTTGTTTTTGTGTTATGACACTTTAGACAGGGGGAATATACAGGGGGAAATTAATCTATTTTCAGGCTTTGTTGTTCCATATCTGTTCTTGACTTTATCATGTTTCATTTTACTGCCAACTGTTGCTTTATGCGTGGTACGTAAGAGAGTGACTTAACTTATGATGGATTAAAAAAAAGAAAGATAAAAACCTGAGGGAGGGGGAGTGACCAATATCCCCAAATTGAAAATGCAAATATGATGGGAAGAAAAGTCTGTTAAATTGGGAATCCTGCCAAATAAAGATATTTTTGGTTTAAATAATTCCTCTTGATGAGTCATATTTAGCTGAAGTTAAGGGAGGAATCAACACCTTAACTAACTTTCAAGCAGCTTGTTCACTTCAAACGTCTGGATAATTCTCGCTCACAAAGTCAGCCTTCAAAACTTGAAGCCTGAGAAGGACACATTGATTGGGGTGACACAAACCACTGACACTGCAGCCGGACACATAGCACGCATTCCTGTGCTTCCTCTGAGTGTGTGTCACTGGGCTGACTGGCTGATGCCACCAAGCCTCTGTCATTTGAAGAATGACAGTAAGACCAACAATAGCTTTATGCTCTGTGTTAAGTGAATTTTAGCTGACATATTGTACGCTTTTTATGGGATAGAGAATGCATCACAAATACTGCATCGAAAATAGATTATTAAAAACCTGTCTGATATCCAGACTTTATCATTAATCAGTATTGAACATCACACTTACAAATATGCCCATGCTGAAAAGCTCTTTCATAACCTCTGCTGCCCTTGGAGTCAGCCTTTGTGAGCTGATAATGAAAAGCAACCCAGGTCTCAATACGCCTTTTGGAACTAAAGATAGGCACAAACATGAGCGCATTCACATAGAACAAATGTTCCAGGAATATCCAGAGTGCTTTCATGTCAACACCACATGATGGAGACCGTGCAGTCACACTTGAACCCTGACACCAAAATCCTTAGAGAAACTTGTTAGGATAACAAAAGATTAATGATGCTTTTTGTGCACAAAAAAGTACAAAAGTTGAGGCTGATAATATTTTATTTCAGTATATGTGCCACTTGGTGGCAGCACGCAGATGCAATAAATATGCCCTAATCATCTACCCATCCATCCATTATTGTAACCGCTTATTTCATTATGGGGTTGCAGGGGGACTGGAGCTTATCCCGGTAGTCAATGGGTCCTGATCATGTATCATATATATATGTATATTAATCATATGAGTATATATTGACCTGTTGTGCTGAAATGTGGTAAATTACACTCATTCAAACATTGTTTCTTCAGTACCACACATTTTTTATAGTGTATTTCCATCTTTTAACAGTTCAAACATACCTCTGTTGCTTTACTTTGTTGAACACCAGATTAAAGCATGTGCAGATCTATACATACAAGATATCTTATTTGAAATTAAGAGGTATTAACATTTGTTGTGCCTTTTATTCCTCTCCATAATTTCTACATATTGAGGTTTGAGCTGTTGGTTGAACATATCAAGCACCAACATAGTCACACCCTGGTGCAAAATACAAAAAAGAAAAAAAGAGGTCAATCAAAACACTGGTACACTCAGAGATAAAATACACTTTTTCTCTTTGATTAAAATGAAAAAAATAACAAATTTCTCATGTTTGTAAGGTTCACAGTAATATTAGCATTGCTGTGGCTTTGAGGCAGTTCATTGCACTCATCACAAAACCTCAAAGGAGAGGAAGGATGAGATTTAGTCAGCAAATAAAAGGCTGAGGCAGATTACAGTGTTTGCTGTGTGCATGTGTGGGGTTTGATGAGGGAATGAGATTGAAGTCATTAATCTTCTACACGGCACTGTGTATTTATTGCCAGAAGCACTAACAACAGAACATGTTCTGGTGATTACACAAACTTCCCAACGACATGAAGCTAAAGGCTGGTGTGTCCATGCTCTGTACATGTCAGCTCTCATGTGTCCAGTCAAAATGTCCTTCGGTGAGTGAGCACATGCAAGTCGCATTTTTGTAGAAGAGAAAACAGGAACAATACTGGCACTCAAATGGGATCCATTGTGAGCAGCTAGGACAAAGAAGTAATCAGAAAAAAAGACCTTGGCAGAACAATCACAAACAAGCTTCAGGTTCTTCTGAGGCTCAAAAAGCACCAAATTGCAGCTCTGACATTAGTATGCAACATTTTGTTCAATTTAGTTTAAAATAGCAAATAGCTCAGTAAAAGCATTTCCTATGTTCGGGAATAATAGATCTGCTAAGAGTGGAGAACTATCAGTGACGCAAAAAATAACCGTAGAGAGGGTTTTAGGTTATAGGCTCTGTGTTTAAGATAACTAATACGTTTGAGAAGGGGAAAGGCAATAATTTACCATCATGTACCGGTCCTCATGTTAGTGTGGGACAGTAAAACTACAGCTTTTTTTGTCAGCCTAATTTCTGTGACCTTTGGGTTCCAGCTGCTCTAGCTAAAGGTTGTGTGAAATCACAGCTTGTTGTCATGATGTGATAAATAAGCAGCCTGAGGCAAACCCTGTTTCTTTTCTAAATTATAGTCTAAATTTGGTGGTAATGACACAGAAAAGGGTTTAAAAGGACAGGAACCCCTTCCCACACACACAAATACAGACGTGCATAGTAATATGCCGCCCTGCGTCAAAGGGTTTTAATTCGATTTACTGAGGAAAGGGTCATTTAAACATACACCATCAGGAAATAGAAATGTCTGCAAAGATGTGTTAATAACTGTTCATCTGTTTGAGGGTTACATTTCTGTCTTTTGAACAAAAACCCCACCGAGCCAGACTAATTTCAGTTTGTGAACTTTTTCTACAGATAATCTTTATTAGACCCTGGTGCACCAGGATAAATAATGCTTTCTATAAATAAATACAGAAGAAGCTCGCAAGTGGTTTTGCCACACAGATTGAGACAAGGAAATTTAGCTCCAGGCCGACTTTGTGAAATAAAAGTTAGAAGTAGTCACTGAATGCATATAATATTGCCTCTGATCTATATGTCTGGCAGTTCAATTATTGTCAATCCAATATCCCCTTCCATTATAGCTTCATCATCAGATAAATGCGATGGGATAAACAGGAGGTTGGAGCTGCTGGAGAGTGATGCTTTAGAGTATATGACTGATATCTATTATCTATAAAATATGTTTTAATAGAGACCACAAGTTCAATATTCAGTAGGAATGAGAAGGGTTACTGAGACCAAATAAACATAATGTGATTTATTAAGGAAATTGAGTCTTTTGGAGCCAGAGATGTTTTATTTTTATTTTTATTTTTTGCAGTATCAAAATGTAGAGTTTCTGGTTGACCATAACCAGTACAATGTAGATGCATGCACACACACACACACAAATCTACACAGAAAAAAAGATATATTGTTTTGAGTACCAAAACAAATTAAACTCAAAACTGATATGGAGCAATATTGACTGCAGTCTTATACTTCTCTGTGATGGAGGCTTTGTAGAAGAATTTAGTTTATTTAGGAGAAGGAAATCTGAAAAGCTGCCAAGGATGAAAGTTGCTGACTACATGAGAGGGATTCACATTCACCAACATGCACACATCACAATCCCAGTTAAAATAAGTCAAGATTTCTGCTTTTCTTTTAAGCGGGGTAATTTCAAGTTTGAAAAAAGTTAACTTATACCATATATTACATATGCTTTTTACTTTTAATCGAGTAATATTATTTGGAAACAACAATACTCTTGCTTGAGCAGTTTTGGCTGCTCAGACCACCTTTGGTGACGACACTGAGAGAAACTTATACAGCTGATCCTGCATTGCCTCGGGTCTCCCTGGAGCGACTGTGTGAGCTGCCTGTCTCAAATTATTGATGGTACTATTAGCACAGGATTGTTGGAAAAATGCATCTATGAGGGAAGATGTTTGCACAAACTTGAGACTTCTTGTCACGTTTTTGCAATAGTTCCAAACCTGTAAATTGTCCAAACCTCAAAAGTTATGTGGAGTTTTGAAAATGAGCTGTTCAATACAACAGAAACGGCCACCGTTAAAGGCACTAAACAGGAACTGAACAGGCACTAAACATTACTACTAAATAGCAAATGCAATATATTCTTCGGGACCATTAGATTTATACGCAATATGTTGCAGCAAATCTAATATAACTGACAACATACAGCTCGTTGCAAGCATTCAGATAGGAAAAGCAAGAAATACATGGATGATTTGGAATTTCCAGGCCTCTTCTCTGACCTTGAATCGCACATAACAGTCCAGCCTCACAACGTGCAGCCTCATAAAAGATACATTCCAAACCTGCTTCCAAGACAGGGCCATCATTCAAAGTTTTCAGTCCAAATGATATATGACATGCAGTTGACATACAACCCTAACATGTCTTATTTCATCTTGTTATCTGTGGTTGGCTTGCGGACTCCAGCGCTCCAAATCACTGTAGCAAAGCAGTGCTACCGTTAATGGTGAAATTTACACACGCTGACACACAGAAATGTGTGTGTCAGTGTGTGTAGAGAAAGTATTTATATTAAAATACCTCCTTACTGTTTTGAAGGCAGTTTTAATAAGCAATGCTATTGGTTCTTGGCTTTATTATCTAAAGTGCAGGTCCAAGCAGATGCTCACAGAATCAATGACTTGTCAACTTTCTTGTCTCAATAGGCCCCACCTGTAAGTATCATTAATGAAGTGTAGCTTTCCAAGCAATTAGTTTCGCCCTGATGCTAATTTCCCCATTATGTTGTTTGCTCTTATCACATCTGCTGATGTCACTAATGCTCATTGGGAATAACTAAAGGTATCTGCATTATTTGACCTGCATTATTTGGTATTTTTCAAGAACTATTGCTGAGAATGACATGACAATTCTTTACCTTCCCTATTTTAATATTTCTGCATTTCATGGTTAAGTGATCCTATATAACAGTACTCACCAATGCCTAATCATAGGACAGAATAATGTGTCTATGTTGGACTCTTGCTCAGTGAATAGAACAAGTCATTTATCAATTTTAATGAGAAAATGTCCAACTAAAAGATAAATAGAGTATAGCCAGTTTGACACTTCAACAACTTTAACAATAGAGCAGAAAAAGCCTTTATCTTAAGAAGAAGTTTTTCTAGTATGTATGCTGATCAAGTTGGAGCTGAATACTAACTCTATTCAAAACAAAGCTTGTTTTGAGACAGACGTGTTTCTGTTTATACAAATCTTGCTTTGGGAGCACAACAGTTCAGCATTTGTGTTTCGGTTAGAAACAGTATCAAACACCGCTGAAAAGTGGGAGAGGATGCAACTGGTCTTCTTTTAGGAATTTGGGGAATAACATACACTGATAGAATGCAAACTGAGATTGAAAGTCGTTGCAGGAGAACTGATTAAGGGGCAAAACGTAAACTTCAGCTTCAATATTGTAGAAACGAGCCATTGGAAATATGAATAAAAAACTGAGTGATTATATTAATCAACTTTCTGCCAAAGGGGCACTGAAAATGTTCTAATGTGCTGATGGAGGGTAACTTGATCATTCCTGTCACACCTTGTTCCATGTCCTTGTTTCAGGTCAAGGATGTATAACCTATACGTATATCCTCTCAGGCCCCGGTCTCTCCTTTGAGGTAATTGGTGTGAAAGGTGAGCTGCTTCTGCTCCACCAGAGTCCATGTCAAATAAGGCAAAACTTTGCAGGTGTCAGCTCAGCTTCAGAATAACTGCCTGCATCATTTCCATTTTTTACAATCCTGCCGCGAAACAAATTTTTGGCTCCATCCAGCCATGTGTCACTGGCTGGGCATATAAGCCATTTTTCACTTCATGCAGCTTGTAAAGCAGCCATATGGAAGCCGGGACCTGGCTGCACCCGCACTGGCTCTCCACTTTGGTCGTAATATTTCACTGCTCCAAGGA